GAAGTAAGTACACAATAATACTACTATATATATATATATATATATATATATATATATATATATATATATGTATGTATGTATAAGGCTGAAGATTGTAGAAAGGATCGAAGATCGATATCGTTTTGGAGAAATATCTATATCCTTTTCGAAAGGATGTTAAAAGTTATTAAAGGATAGTTACAATTTTCTTAACATGATCGTATTGGAATGCAATTATGTTCAGAATTCGAGGAATTGATTGAATTATTAATTTAAAGCATCGAAACAGTTATTTAACTCTTATTATATCAAACGTACTTGTTACGTTACGAAGTGCGTGTTCCGTTTTAATTAAGATCGAAATTTTGAAATTTTTTTCATTTCGTATTGAAAGATTTTCAAATTGGATCCTCGTTATTTCACATATCTGTTATTGATTTGGACTGTAATTTTATTACTAGAGCGTGATCTAAAATTGATACAAGACTTGTCAATTGAGAATTCAAAGAGATAAAATCTAATTTACACAGTTTTCTTAAAATCCTTAAGAAAACCAAATTCAAGCTACTTTTTCCCTCACGACGTAATCGAGAAGAAGAAAAATTCGTATGAAAAAAGAAAACGAGAGGATCGATATCGATAAAAATAAATTTATCAAAAACCTTAACAAGATACCAAGCCTGGTTGGACGAGATGCGGAAGGAATCGAGAGATTCTTCCATTTCGACGCAATTTTTACGATAAGACGAAGGAAACGATCGTTTCTACGATCGATCGAACGAACGAATAGCGTCGGTTCGAAGGAAAGCGAACAGGTTTGGGCGAAAACCTCTCAATTTTTCACGGGGTTCCTCGATGACGTTTGATGCGACTAATTTATTCACGAGGCGTGGCGCGTAGCGGGCGGAAGCGCGAACCTTCGAAAGAAACGCGAGAGAAATAAGGAATGGAATAATATAGAAGGTGCAAGTTGACGAAACGAGACGCCGTTAACGCTCAACAGTGTGCTAAGACTGATTTAATAGCGGTGGGTAAAAACGAAGAGCACCATTAAAAACCAGTTCTGAATAAGAGCCAACCGCGGAAACCGCCGTGGTATTTCCAGCTCGACAAGAAAATAAAGAAACGAATAAGAAATAATTAGCAACGTTTCATCGTTCAACGAAATAAAGAATAATATATCGTACAGAATTTCTAGAATTCGAAAAAATTTATCGTTACACGGGAAAAACCATTGTTGCTCAACAGAAAGCGAATCATTGAATATCGTAATAATTCTGTCACAAAACGTTAACAAATACACGGTATATGTATATGTATCGCGTATATTTGATAGAGACATTCGAGAATTTTCGATAATAAGGTTCTCGAAGATATTTCATCACCCGTGAATTCATCGGAATTTCTAAAATTTCGAGAGTCCAATTAGTGGACCAGCTTCGTTGGATCCTTGAAAATGTTGACAAACAATTGAGTGACAAACATTTGATGCCATACGATACCACTATTCGGCAATGTTGTTCTTCGTATTAAAGGCGTAGAAGAAATTAAAAATATGTGAGTCAGCTAGCGTCGAAAATTTTTTTCAAATCACCGAGTCTCCAGAGTGTATATGCGTATAAATATCAATATTGCCGACAACGTTTCGAAAAGTTCGCGTAAAGGCATACCTTTAATATTCAGAGAGCATTGCCAGTTTATATCCGTGGCGATTATCGATGTTAATAACCGAGCAATTCGTTCGTTTCTCGGTATTCCAATAAATTTGCCAATAAATTCCCATTACTAACCCGGTTTAAGCGCGTCACTGAGCGCGGAACAAACGCGGGACTCGTGTTGCTGCTCTCATAACATGGGGTGCAAAAATAAAACAAGGGGAAAATTCTACGTCGCATCGTCGATAACCATCCTTCACGTAAGCCTGGAGGGAAAACGGTGACCATAAACAAGGAGGAAAGGAAAGAACACGGGATAGCCTCGAGGATTTCCGGATACGTCTTGGAAAAATCGAATATGATATTTCGTTGGGAATATTCCATTCTTTCTCAAACATTAATTAAATTGTTATGTTACAAATTTCGTATATTCGCTTCGATAACATTTTCATATGGTAAGAAAAAAATTGAATATCGCGAAGATGGAAACGCAGTTTATAATACTGGAATAAAAATGCAAATATTTTTTTTTTTTTCACTTCCACTGTTGAAATTACTCGCCTTCCTTAATAAAACGCGTCATTTCTACTATCTTCCGTCGATGATTCACTTGGCACAACTTCAAAGAAATATGTCGGCATACAGAAGTATGCTACGCTATAAATATCCGATGATATTTGTAAAAGTAAACGAGCTTAAAAGGATCTAGAAAAAAAAAAAAAAGAAAATTCGAAAATAATCAAACGACCGCAAAAGTTAAACGTTCACTTTTTCGTCTTATTCTCCGACTCTTCCTGGTTCAAAAACGGAGGAACGCTTAAAAAAAGAAGGAGCAAACCGCGAGAAGAATATCGAAAACCGAATTTCTAAACCGTTAAGGAAATGATGTAAATGATATGTAAGTTAAAAGAAGAAGTTGTCGGGGAGAGAATTACAGAACTCGAGGGAAATAACTCTCTAAAGGGATTCCTTTGTGTCACCGGTGAAACATGGATGAAACGACGTTTTCCGGGAGAGAAGACGAACCGTGAAAAACGCGGCCCGTAAACTCCACTCCATGATTATTCACGAAGAAGGGAGGGAGAGAGGGAAGGAGACGAGTACAGCCAAGTTACCTCAAAATTCCGAGTGTCGAGGAAAGATTTTCCCCGTAGGGAAAATTTTGCATGAGATTACCCGGAACGATGCGAATATAGGATGAAAAAGCAAAGGTAAAGCGGTTCAGCCGCTTTCCGCTCGGACGAGGGGGGAGGAGAGGATGAGAGCATATTTATTCGATCCATTAGCATCGATTCACGGGCCAAACTGCAAATTGAATAACTTCAAAGTCGCACGTTGCATTGAACAGAGCCGCGTATCGAAAAATATATACGTCTCTCTCTAATATCGATCGACCCTGTTTTTCAGCGACATCAGAAAAAATATCAAACGTCACTGCGCGTCGCTGAAATTTCTTTCTCCTTTCTTTTTTTTTTTCTAATTTCTTCGACCCCCGAATCGAGAATTCGTGGGGTGGTGGTCGATAACGTTTACGAACCTATCGTTGCGCTGCATTAATTCCTGCTCGTCGGATTCCCTTTTAATCCTCTCGAGAAACACGTATAACCGGCGGTGGCGGGGGAGGGTACAACCATCGAGAGTCACATCATCGTACACCACGTAGCACGGTTAGCACAGACCACTTACCAAAATCACGAGAAATATAGCTGCCTTTCTTAGACTTAATTATTATCGCGAGGAGGGGGGAACAGGTGTCTGTCCTCGGGACACTTCTCGTCGATCTTGAAAGGAGAAACACCACTCGAGGATGAGAATATCTTCACGAGACGTCGATCGAACTGAAATCGAGAGAATCTCGAAACGATGATACACCTCTCTCGTCGAAATGCACGTTCACACGCGACCGATCAAAAGAGACACGCGAGGGAATAAACGTGTAAGAAGAAAGACGAGGGAGTCGCAGTTTGCACGCACATGTGATTCTTCCTCCTCTCGCCACGTCGAATAAACGGACCACGCGAATATACAGTGTGTACGAACGAACGAGCGACCCAGTTACCCGTTTTGTTTCCCTGTCACACTTTCGTAAGTTAACCACGTGACTACGGGCGCACCTTGACCACGAAGCGAGGTGGCGAGGATGCGAGACACAGCAAGCAACACCGTGGACTGAATTCGGTGGTAGCCGAAGCTACACTCGGAGCGCGATTGACTCGCAGCCAGGCGCCGCCTGAGGCGCCTCTACCATCCGCAATGTGGAAACTTCCTCCTCGTGGGCTCGTTACGTCGGCCATCCTTGTTTGTCCAAAACGATTTCTCTCCTCCCTTCTGCCCCCCCCCCTCCTTCTTCCTCTGCTCTGCTCCGCTCTTCTCTGCTCTCGTGTCGAACCGAATTGCGAATTTCACGGAATCGCGTGAAATTTCTTCTCATTCGTTTCATCAGTTTTCCGATGTGGTGTGTAACCGTTTTGGGATTTGAGCTTGTGTTGGAGGAGGGAGAGAAACAGTCCGTTGGAGTGATTAATGGCTTATAAACTCGATAAATAAGTTTCGACTGATATTTTTCTGCGGCAAATTTCGCGTTTTCGATGTTTTGGACTTTGGAAATCGATCGAATCGAGCTCGTTCATTTTTCTATTTATATTATCCGTTTAAATTATAGACGCGTAGATATTGAATCGAAGAGGAGATTTATTATACGTGTTCGAAGATGTTTAAATCCGTCGATAGCGATACCTATACGTTCCTTTTGTTTGATCAAGAATATTTTCGAAAGAAACGAAGGTAGTACGTACGTTCGTGTATCAATATTATCTGTTGAGAAATGAAAACTAATAATCTTCCTTTGAATCTAATGAATTTGTCCTCCAACAACTTTACTCATCGCCAACTATCTCAAAGATAACTTCTTCGAGCGTTATAAACATGTTGATCTTTCAATTACTTCAATCAATCCTCGCAATGCTCAAATAATTAAAGGAAAAGAAAAAAAAAAAAAAAGAATAAAGACTTTTGCCAAGCCAATTTTTTACTCGAAACACATATAACATTATCATTATACAAATTGTACGAACAGGAAACACGAACCATAAAAGATAAGTAATAAATTTTTAATCTGCTTAAATGTTGCGATTTTTAAGTCGGTTTTAACCGATCGACATTTACAAAACACGAATTAACACGAATTAAAATGAAAAAAGAAGAGAGAGAGAGAGAGATTCGCTTAAAAAAAAAAAGGAAAAAAATCGAAACGATAATTTACTCGCGATTCCGAGTTTATCTCGCAATATTTGCTTTTCGCGGGAGAAGACGAGCCAAAAGCTTGAAAATCGATTCACCGTAATACGAAGTATCGGATTCTCCTTAATAGCGTTATCGACGGAAACGTAGGAGGAAGACATTTTTTTTTTTCCCTCCCTCCCTCCCTTTTCCAAGACGGCTGTGCACCATCCATCGAGTGAAGGGAGAGAAGGGAAAGGAAAATCGATCCCCTCGGGATCGATCGATTGCCAATAGGTGTTTGTCGATACAAATTCAATATCTCCCTCACACCACGCCGGCTCGAACACGCGCTCTCTCTCTCTCTCTCTCTCGCTCCCCTCATACTCTACTCCTCCCCGCCGACAACGAGGCTATTTTGGGGATATAAAGGTGGGTAAAGCCATTCACGCTTGCATTTTCAAACACAGTTCGACGAGCCCTCCTCCATCTACTAAACTTATTCGCGTCGAAAATATCATATGGATATGATCGCTAATGTTATTGGGTCACTCGCGGCTTATTTATCGAGATAAACTCGGACGATTTCCGGTTTTGCATACACCGGGAGAGCAAATACTCGATAAATCTGATAAAACGAATTCTCGAAACGAGCGAGAGAGAGAGAGAGAGAGAGAGAGAGAGAGAGACGTACTCCTCCTCGCCGTAGTTCACGTTAC